CAAGTCACCCAACATTCTAGAAATGTTGACATTAATCTTCAAAGGTAAATCTTCGCATCTTCCACATCCTATTGGTTTTACCTCAGAAAAGTTTCTACAGTTGGTCCTGCTGCCTCTGTATCTATTGCCCCAAACCCTGGACCTCTTCATCCTTCACTTGGGCTCTTGTAATAACTATATACCTGGAATCTTTTCTGGCTTGTTTTTGATGTTGACCCAAGTAATTATTCTGAAAAAACAAATTTGGTCAAATGCCCTACTTAAAAGCCTATCTCATTCTATCTTAAGCATGTTTCCATATTCCATTTTTATTTCTAACTTCTCCTACATTTCTTGTGTTCCAACTATCTCAAGCTTCCTGTGACCCTCAGTTTGAGTGCCTTCATGTCTGCTAGGCAGGATTGGAAGGAGGAATTGGAGCACAGAGGGAGTGAGTTAGCCCTTGTCTGTGGGACCAAGGAGTCATAAAATCTTCAGCTGGATCTTGAAGGATAAGTTTACTTCAGCAGTCCTTCTAGCTTCTTTTAATTCTCTCCAGTTCTTTTAGTTAAATGCCAGTTCCAGGTTCTAGAGACAATATTACTGAACCAATGCATCCATACTTTGGTCACAGGCCTCCCTGATCACAGGCTGCTGGATCCTTGTGGTCGCCTGTGTTTGCCATGGTCTGCTGGGGTAGAGATGGGACTGAAGTGACATAATGTAGTTCAGACAGAACCAGCAGAGTCATAGGCCAGGCAGTAGGGGCTGTGTGGGCTGTCGTAGCACTGGAGATGGTTTTGTAATTAGAAAAAAGACTTAGGAACAAATCCTTTTGGTGACATGAGAGCTGTGGAAGACAGATATTGCTAGGCTGATTGTTTGCTTCAGGGATGTATTCCTCATCTTCCAACCATTGGCTCAATTCTGGTTTTTCTTTGATGCTGTTTAATTTATTGAATAATCTATCCTTCACTCATTGATCTGAAATGCCACTTTCATCAGATATAAATGTCCCATGATTATTTCAGGTTTTTAAATTCTGTTCAAGAATAGTTAGTGTTAATTTTGGCATTTACTGTGCAGATACGCACCGTGTATTCTTGTTCTCAAATTTATTAGCTAATCTTAAAATTGCTTTCTTCTGGATGAGCTTTAGAATTAATATATCAAATAATCATGCAAAACTGACAAGTAACAAAATTGTATTAGAATTTTGATTGGGATTGCATTTAGTTTACACACACACACACACACGTATATGTATATGTTTTCCCTTTTCATTTTCTAACTGGTTATTACTAGTATATGGGATAACTATTGATTTTTATTATTTATCTAATACTCAGATATCTTAGTGAATTTTCTCTCTGGTTGGATGGTTTTCAGATGATTCTTTTGGGTTTTCTTGTCACACAGCTAATTATCTGCAAATAGTGATTATTTTGTCCCTCCTTTTCCAGTATTCATACTCCTGATTTCTTTTTCTCATCATTGCATTGGCTGGACTACAGTGCTGTCCATAAGAGGCGCAGTTAGAGCCACGAATGTGAACCATGTCTGTAATTTAAATTTCTAGTAGGCATATCAAATAAAGTAAAAAGAAACAGGTAACTTTAATATGTTTTACTTAATCCAGTATATCCAGTATATTCAACATGTAATCAGTATAAACAGTGTTAATGGGTTGTTTTACATTTTTTTTCCCATACTGTCTTTGCAATCCCATGAATATTTTACATTTAGAGCACATCTCAGTTTGGACAAGGCACACTTCAGGTGTTCAGTAGCTAGAAGGTCTTTTGAATTTTTAATGTCAGGTATTGTTATTAATTTCCAAAAGCTTTTCCTTATTTTTAGTTCTTCTATATACTATCCTGTTGATTAATCAACAGGATAGTCTCTCTTATCCCTTTGAGAATATTAATTACATATACATATTTAAAGTGTTTCCTCTGTTTTCTGCATTGTCTGTTTCCATTTTGTTCCCTTTCGTCTCTCCCCCTTCTTTCGTTTTCATCTCTGTTTTTCATTGTGATACTTTTTTACTCAAATATCTGATGGTTTAGAATTTTATCTTCTGTCTGGATTTTGGTTCTGTTATATCTTCCTGTTCCTAATTTATTTTTTCATCAATAAATTCTCAACATTGGCACTAGATTTAACATTAAGAAATAGATCTGAGTATGCCATATTCCTGCATAAAAATCCAAATGGCTCATCAGAGATTTGGATAATGTCTAAATCACTTAGCACAGCACGTGGGGCAATGGCAGTGAGGCAGTATTTGTTTCCCAGAGCTGCTGTCACGCCACAGATTTGGTGACTCAAAGCAACAGGAATTTATTCTCTTACAGTTATTAGAGGCTAGATGTTTGAATCAGCATTCTTGGGCTGAAATTAAAGTGTTCCCAGGGCTGGGCTCCTTCCAGAGGCTCTAGAGAAGAATCTTTTCTTACCTCTTTAGCTTCTGTGACTGCTGCATTTGGTGGCACCACTCCAGTCCTTCAGGCCAACATCCTCAAATCTCTCTCCCTACTTCTCCCTCACTTTGCCTTCACTGTGTGTCAGACTGTGTGTTGCCTCTCTTTTACAAGGATGCTGGTGATGGCATTTAGAGCCCACTGGGTAATTCAGGACTGTCTCCCCATTGCAGAAGCCTTAATTTAATAACACCTGCAAAGAACCCTGTCTCAAATAAGGTAACATTTACCGGTTCCAGGGATTAAGACCTGATGTCTTGGAGGTTGTTTATCAGTCTACAACAAGTATTTAGAGTTTTCTTAAATTGCCCTTTTCTTGAATACCTCTTCTTTTGCAAATACTAAAACTGCCTGCAGTTGCCTCTCTTCTTGTCTACTTGACCAAAAATGTACGGATCAGTAAATATTTGTTGAGGAGTTTCAACATTTATTGAGTATTAAATACTAGGACCTGCTATGAGAGACTATTTAATTAGGAAAACAGAAGGTATAGTAAGTGTGCACCTGCACCAAAGCCTCTCCAGCGCAAATTTCTCAGAAGGGATTTGCTAAGTCATAGGATTTACATTTTTAGGTTTAGCTGCCGGATTGATACCAAAGAAGCTGCACTTCCCCCAGTAATGTCAAAAGCTGTCTTATTTCTATATCCTTGCCAATACGTGTGATTTTTTTTGTTGTTGTTATTAAAAAAATCTGATGGGGGCAAATGATACTGTTTTAATTTGCATTTCCATGATTACTAGTGAGGTTGACCATTTTTCTCCATAGTTAATAGACATTTGGATTTTTTCTGTGAATATACATAGTCCATTTTATCTATTGAGTTCTCTTTTATTTATAGAAATTCTACAAATACTATGGATATGAATTGTTCATATAGGTTGTTGCTATCCTTATTTACATATGAGGAAACTGGCACAAGAAATAAGTAAATTGAAAAGATTCCCCCCCCCCACCCACCTAATGGACAGATGGATAGGTGAATGAATAAGTGAGTGAACACGTCTAGATCCATAGCTGATTAAAAAATAGAGCAGGGATTTTGGACCTACCTGTATCTGGTTTTAAGGCCTCTTCTTTAGAGTATATTTGGCTGCCTTGCAGAGAATGAGGAAGTTAATAATGAGGCAGTGGTGTGCTGAATTTTGACTCAGAATACTTAAATACTAGCTCTGTTTACTAGCTCTGTGAATTTGGGCTGTTGTTAATAAATATTTTTTTAATGACTATAATGACGGCTAAGCTATCTGCAAGTGATTAAGAAAAGCATTGAGACGGTAAGTAGAAGTATTGTATATACAGTGACATACTGTTTATAAATCTTAGTAATTCTTCTTAGCCATCATAATAATGATTGAAAAACTTAATATACTTTATAAAAGTTTTGGATATACCTTTTTAACAAAATAAGCTTTATTTTTTAAGTGTGTTTTCTAGTTCACAGCAAAATTAAACAGAAGGTAGAGAGATTTCTCATATACCCCCTGTCCTATGCACAGCCTCCCCGATTATCAACATCCCGCACCAGAGTGGTACATTTGTTACAACTGATGAACTCATGTTGATGCATCATTATCATTGAGTCCTTAGTGTACATTAGAGGTCATTCTTGGTGTTTACAGTCCATGGATTTTGACAAATATGTAATGTCATATTTGTATTCTACCATTATAGTATCATACAGAGTTGTTCTACTGCTCTAAAAATTCTCTCTGCTCTGCGTGTTCATCCCTCCTTACTCCTTAACCCTTGGCAACTTTCTGCTGTCTTGGTAGTCTCAATACTTTCTCAATAGCTTTGCCTTTTCCAGAATGTCGTATAGGTGGAAGCATGTAGTATGTAACCTTTCAGATTGACTTCTTTCACTTAGTAGTCTGCATTTGAGTTTCCTCATTTCTTTTTTGTTCTTTTACTTTTTTTTTAAAAATTGAAGTATAGTCAATTTACAATGGTGTGTCAATTTCTGGTGTACAGCATAACAGTTCAGTTATACATATACATACATATATTTGTTTTCATATTCTTTTTCATTATAGGTTACTATCCTCCTTTCTCTTTAGTGCTCCGTAATATTCCATTGTCCAGACATAGCAGTTAACATTCACTTGCTGAAGGACATCTTGGTTACTTCCAAGTGTTGTCAGTTATGGATAAAGCTGCTATGAACAGTTGTATGTAGTTTTTCTCTCTAGACATAAATATTCAACTCATTTGAGTGAATATCAAGGATATTGATTGCTTGATTGCTGGATCATATGGGAAGAGTGTGTTTAGTTTTGTAAGAAGCTGCCAAAGTGTCTTCCAAAGTGCTGTACCAGTTTGCATTCCCACCAGCTGAATGCGAGTTCCTGTTGCTCTGCATTCTTGTCAGCATTTGGTGATTTTGGATTTTGACTGTACTAATAGGTGTGTGGTGGTATATATGCTTTTTTGTTGAAAGCTTACATGATAAAATGTCATTTGCTAGTATGATAGACGATGTTTCCAGAAAAACTCAACAGAATATTTCCTATAAGGTTTGGAGGTAGAAATGTCTCCAGGAAAAGGTTGATATTTGGCTGTGATTAACCAGATCATGAATAGTAATGCTTGTCTTTATGTGTTTGTTTTTCAGGTATTGAAACAAAGGCACATACCTTGAAGGCACTAGCACCTCCTACCATTGTCAACTGGTAAAATGTTAAATTTTTTTAACTACAAAATTTCTCTTTATTAGGCATACAGTGTATTAAGTTAAAACCAAGTGTTGGTAAACAGTCAAAGAAAAAACTTTCTCTTTCCATTTTGTGAGTGTAGAATTATGAAAGGTTTGAGGAGATAGCTTTTAAACTAATTCTGACTCCATGTAAGCCCATTGGAATATTAAACATTTGGATGGTAGCAGAAAGTGTTAGTCGTGCAGTAGAGACAAAGTATTCAGAATACTTTCGTCTGTATGTGAAGGTGCCCTAGGTTATACGCTTGGAAGGAGATGGGGACAGCAGCAGGTTTGCTACTCTCTTGGCTGAACATGAAAAGGTTTCTTAGAGTCAGGCTAAATACTTCTCATAGTTATTGAAGGTGGATTCTTTTTTCTTACACCTTCTATTTTTTAAAACATAATCTAATTTTTGAAAATTTATGGGAAAGCTGCAGAGTCCAGAAAACTGGGCACACAGGAGAATGGAGGGGAGGAGAGGGAGGACAACTCTTTATCTTGGTAGCTTTGATTTTGAAACCTATTTAGAAAAAGCTTTATTAGAGGTAAAGTAGTTGAGAATTAATGGAAAGAAGAAAATACTTTATGTAAATAATTTAAAAAGGAAAGGAATAAGATCATATGAATAAAATGTAAAAAAAAGACTGAGTATTGACTAAAGAAAGTAATTGCATGTTTAAACCTTCTTAACTATTTAACATTTAGATAGTACAAATAATTAAGTTGATTTAATGGTGATACTGTCATTCATCCAGTTATATATAGTTCCACAGTGTAGTTATAACTTCCTGATTATATATGTCATTTGCTTTTCCTTAAGTTTGTTTTTAACTGATGTGCCAGAATATAGGTAAGAGGGGCTCTTTGGGTGAGGAGGTAAATGGTGGAGAAGGAAACATCTAAGGAATCTTACTGGACAATTTATAAGTCCTTGAACGTGAAATAACAGACATAGAGTTAGGTTGGCTAGTCTTCGGTATTGCAGAGTTATTCTAGGCTGTTGTAGCTTTTACTCATAAAAAGAATAAGCATCTTAAAATTATCTCAGATTAAACTGTCTTGAAATCGTAGACACCTGAGTCTCTTTACATTCTCAAAGGCTAAACTTGCCAGAAGAGCTTTCTTTAATCACACGTTCCTATTTTGCTCATTATAAGCACATTTACTTTTGCTGACATGTTTCATATATTTGAAACTTACATTTAGCCTCTGGCCTTGGAATTTTCTTTAATTTTATTTTTAATTTTATCCTAGGGAAGGAAATAGGTAAATTCAAAGGTGAAATTTTTAATCCAGCTAAATCAACCTTCACTTAAAAATTAGGTCATCTCTTGACTCTCTTAGGTATAGTTTATGTAATACTAAATATATTACTTAGCTGGATTGAATTGGAATTATAAAGACCCTCAGGTACCAACTAGACAGGCTGATGTCATTATACAATTTAATAGTTCATATTTCCTGAAATGTTTATGTAGTTGGCTCTCATTTACTTTTTGTATGAGATAATTGGAATAAATAAGGAATGTTTTTCTGCCCTACCACTTGGGTAATATAATGGTGACTGAACATGCCATTCTCCCCATTCCCCTTCAATGAATCAACCTTGAGCAAAATTCTAATATAAAAAGCAGTACTTCTGTACAGAGAATTTCTTTATCATTTCTTTTGGATATAATAATAGAAAGAGGAAGGTGTATAGCTTGGGAACGTAAGGAGAAAGCACAGTAGGAATAAACTTTCGCATAGATGAGGAGGTTGAGGCAGAATGTTTCAGAACCCTGAACCTGGGGTGGGTATGTGTGTGGTTGTCTGGGTAGGAAGTGGTTGGCGGTGGACCGCACGACAGTGAGGTAGATGAATGACTGCAGAGCTACCTCCGAGTACTCCCCTGTGTGTTGCTGGGTCCTGGCATGAGGTTGTTAAGGATAGACCTAAACCCTTGAGAGTTGGGGAAGCTTGTTGAGGATCATCTTTAGAGGTATGGAGGCTGTGTAAGTTGAATTGGTTAAACAGAGTTGGTCCTCAGTTCCACATGTATATTCCACATGTATTGTCTATTTTTGGGACTTGAGTGGGATCTAGAGGGTGGGATTCAATAGTTCTGTGTCATAAAGTCTAAGGATGTTTAGATCTTTGCATGGAGTACTAGACATAAGGAAAAAATATTAGTATGTATATATTTTCTTAAACAAATTTGCAATCATCTGGCTGAAGCTCATGGAGAGAAATTCCCAAAACTGACTGGCTAGCTAGGGATAGATGGAGTAGTACCAATTCCAAATACAAGATGTGTTAAACATCATTGTTCTTTTCGCTTGCTGTTATTTTATAAAGGACTTGATGGATGGATTTCAGCCTCTTTTAATCTTTGAAGTCTTTATTAAACATGAATCAGTAATAATAGCAGCTGAGATCTGAGTGTTTATTATAAGGCAAATGTTACATCCTCTACATGTATTAACTGTTAATGTGATACAGATATTATTGTCCACATATTGCAGGTGGTGAAACTGAGGCTTGGAAAGGTAATTTACCTAAGGTGACGTTTAGTAAGTAGTAGAGCTAAGTGTCAGGCCCAGTCTGGCTCTATATTCTAAGCTCTCAATAAGAGTACAGTTGAATTGGCTTCAGTGTCTTCAGAATCAGAGGGGTGTAAAAAATAATCAAGATAAAAGAAAGATATTGATATTGATATCCATAGTTTTGTATAAACAAAATTTAAAGCACTACTAAAACATACATTGTTATTTTATAATTTATGTTGAGTGCTTTCACCTACTTGTTTGTTCCTTAAGGGAGTTTCCAGAGGCATTTGTTCTGTGAGGATTTGTTATCCTGGTTTTACAGTGAACCTGAAGCTTGGTGAGGTTAGTTGACTTGCCCCATGTTACACAGGGAGTAAGTAGGGGACCAGCATCAAATCCAGAGCACAGCTGTAGTTCTAAAAGGAGCAAGTCTGTTGAACAGTTTTTATATGCAATCAAACCAGTGTTGCAAGTAATAGGACCTTCAGTAGGTCATGTGAAGTATGGAGATAAAACAAAAACCTGTCTGTTTTGAAACTCCAATGAAACAGAACTTTGTACCCAAACCAGCTATACTAATAACTAGCATTTATTACACCTTTACATTTTCTAGAGTCCCTTATATCTACTGCATTTCACCTTATCTACACTTGAAATTTTGTGCAAATGGGGATATATAAGGTACAGAAAAGTTACTTTATAAAAAAGGATCAGACTTAACTGGAGCCCAGGCTACAGTTGATTTGCTTAACTTCTTGAAATGATTAATTGTAGAGTGACTAGATCGTTCTGGTTTGCCTGGAACTTTCCTAGTTTTAATACTGAAAGTTCTGTGTCCAGGAAATCCTGAAGTCCCAGATCATTCTAATTAATTATCCCACTTTGTGGTAAGTTGGGGATGGAAGTAGGATTGCCGTATAAAATACGGGGAACATAGTAAAGCTGAATTTCAGATAAACATTGAATAATGTTTTACTGTTATGTCCCATATATTGAATGACCATATGTATGCTGAAATTTACTTGTTGTTCATCTGAAATTCAGCTTTAACTGGGGGTAGTGTAGTTTTGTTTGTTAGATCTGGCAACCCTAAGGAAGAATGAAGGGACATTTCAATGGGTAAAAGTCCACTTCCTGCTTTTTTGTGCGGACGTTAGGCTTTATACATTTATCTGCTTAAGGAAGCATCGTCATCTGGCAGTTTCCTTTTCTGGGGTACTTGACTTGTTCTTTTAGCCAAGTGAACAGAGGTGTGAGAGGTCAGGATGATTGTATGAAACCAGATTTTGCCAATGCATTACAACTGGTGTGTGTGTGTGTGTGTGAGAGAGAGAGAGAGAGCGAGAGCGAGAGCGTGAGTGTGAGCGTGTGTTGGTTTGAGCAATTCTCCTTTACTTTTTCAGGAAACTTAACCTAAATCTGAGCCCATCTCCTCTTTGTTGGATCAGTCTGTCAAACACTGCAGTCTCACAGACCACCCACATTGTCTAATGTGTTAAAAAGTATTTCTGTTGTTGTTAAGGTAATACATTCACATGATTCAAAATGAAAAGAAGTAAAGACTTTCCCCACCCCTTTCTTGCACCTGTTCCTTTTCCCCAGCATGGAGACTCTCTGTGATCTAATTGGAAAATGTTGGAATTTTTTAAATGGACTTTTAGAAGTCTTCTTGTTGAGTGTTTTTATCTTTTTTTTTTTTTTTTTAAGCAGGGAACCTCTTTCCTACTCCTCCCCTAACTCCCAAAAGGTGGAGGGAAACACCTTACATAGAAGACAGAAATGGGTTGCTCAGGTCATTTAAATTTTCAGGGTTTAATGGTTGTCAGTACTTCTAAATCAGTTTGGGAGTCCTTGTCATCAGTAGAATATAGTCTTGAAATAATTCTAGTTGGATTTCCTCAACATCAATGGTGAACAAATTAGGCTTTAGTGACTTGGAACAAGGTCTCATAGTAATGAGCTGAGACTGGTGTAGGTGTGTATGTGTGTATTCTTGTGCATAGATGTATTTAAAATCCCTGTTTTATGTTGAGCAGAAAAAAGTGTAAATTCCCTTGTCTAATTTCTCTGTTTCATACTGGAATTTATGGTAGGATCCAGCATTTTTTTTTGAAAGAACATCTGGCTTGGATTTTATTTAGAAAAGGAAAATGGAATAAAGTAGTAGATTAAAAATAAAAATATCTCAATCAGGTTAGGGAAGTTAGGTTACTATATTTGTGGTTCAAGGAGAATGCCCAAAGGTCCTATGTTATTTCAACTATTATAATAAAAGGACTGAAAATTTAAAATTTACAGTGGATAACTGAGGATTATGTAAAGTTGTCTTTGTTCAGTTGCTTTTTAATTTTTCAAAATATTTCCAAAGGTTTAATTTTTTATTTAATATTTTTATTGAGGCATAGTTGATTTATAATATTGTTAGTTTCAGATGTACAGCAAAGTG